TTAACGGTTCCCGAATTAGAGACAGTTTTCAGTTTCGGTATCTTATGGCCGCTACTCCTGTGAAAATGCACCGATTGACCCCAAATTCACGGAGATGAAAGATGACCTGAAGGGTAACACTTTCCAATAATATTATTGGTTAAGTCTGTGTGGTGTCTGAATAACAGGGCAAAAATAATATATTAAATAAAGTCAGATTTCGAAAGGAAACACTTATGGGTCATGATTGCTTGGTACCTTGCACTGTTTGTTAGACTATAATTAACACTCTCTTTAACAAATGTCAAATACTACTTCACCTTCCCCGTGACATTCTTACCTTCCACAGCATGAGAGCTCCCATGACAAAAGGACTGAACACAGTCAGGAAGCAGTAGACGGAGGCTGGGTCAAAGCTGTTGATGCTGGCTATATTACCAGTGCCGAAGAAGGCAGAGATGATCATAAAAACCTGGAGCTCTAAGTCAAGGAATATATTAATTAGGATATCATATTGGGTCACAATACAGGAGAATATTGTACAGTAAACAAAGGTGAACCAAGGGTAATTAGATTTATCATGAAGTACATGTAATAATTAAATCCCCTCCTGTTTCAAAGAAGGTGACAGCCTCACTCCATCCCCAAGTTCTCCCTTTTCCCAATTTTTGTGGCATGAGCAGATGTACAGACCAAATATTAGGCCTTTTCAATAGTACCTTGCTTCCAGGTATGACTGAAATACATGTACCATGGCACAAAAGCTCAATTAAGTTAAAGTTCCCAGTTGTGCCAGATAATATTTCTTCCGCAGGTATACAGATAATATAATAAGAAGAAAATATGTGGGAAGGGCATAAAGGCAGGCAGCCTACGACATGAACTATATTTTCTGGCTATTGAAATGTTATCTCCATAGATTTAAGTAAGCTGGTATCTTTCAAAGTTTCATTCAGTTCAAGTCCCTAAAGATATTTCAAACTGTCAAGTAATAAGTGAGCATTCCTTTAATCTAAGATTTTCATCAAACTCCGAGTCAGAAATCTGTGTGCAAATGGATTTCTGTATTTCATGAAGGATACAAAGAAGTAGGCACATCGCAGGTCAGCTTGGATCAGGTGTCTCTCCACAGTGTCCATCTGGCTGAAGTCCACTTTGTCCAGAGCTCTGACCAGCTGCTTGTGACCATCACTGATGCTCTGAAATAGCCAAAATGAATGTGATGATGAGCTAAACTAATTACAATCACATGGGCAAATATTTGATTTTAATATAGATCTGTTGTATATTACAAAAATAAGGGTTAACTTTATGACTCATTTCTTCTGCATGAATGTGGTCACTAAAAGCAATTAAATAATTTATTAATATATACTGCACATCAAAGTCAGAGCTATATGCCATTTAGTACAAGTTCACTAACTTCTATCTATAAACACCTGCTTTTCATTAAACTTTTTATTTATTTTACTTAGTCATTTATTTTTTCTTTTCTTATCTGTGTCCTAATATTACCTTTTCTGTCTGAGCCAATTTATACTCCATCTGCAGCCAGGAAAACAACAGCAAACACAAAGCCAGACAAAACATGCCTTCATGGCTGTGTGCATGGTCAAGGAAAAAAAATCCTGTTTTCACTAATAATTCTACTGATTTAATAAGTTTGTGTACCTTGCCAATACCAACAGATTAGAAATGCCCTAGTCTTACAGTACCTTAAGTGAACCCTTTTCAAAATTGTATTAACCACGAGTGGGAAACTTCACCACCAGTACCTTGGTGTAAATCACCAATTATTCTCAGATTGAAGGAAAAGGTCAAATTATTACTGAAGGCTTTTCTCATACTGTTCAAGCAGGTGGCTTTCCTTTAATCTAAGATTTTCATTAATTGAATGAACAACTCCACATTAGTGATGGGGTTACTTGTTTCAGAATATAGTCTGTGGAGGCAGCAATCAATGCCACCGCACAGTTTTTGGCACATACAGGGAGTGCAGTATGCTGCCATACCTTTATGGCACTGACAGCTAAAATAAATCAAGAAATTAAATGACACCTGGCAGCTCCACCTTATTTAAGAAGGGAAGTGCAGTCTTTTCTTTTTGTCTCCTTGATTTACAAGCAATTAGCCAATATTTCTCTAGATATGCCATTGGTTTAAAGGTATGACAACATTTCATAAAAGATTCATATTTACAATAAAAAGATTGTTAACAGCTCACAGAATTATAGTATTTTCTCCTTTACCAACAAAATTGCGCAATTATTCTGGAATCTGTGCTTGTCATTGGAGCACGTGACCTCCATGGATGAAACTAAATATTCATCATTTATCAACATAAACCAAGTTTCAGAGGACACTTGAAACACATCTGAATCTCAGGGTGCAAACATTCCACTAGTAGATAACCAGCAAAACTCCATCAAGTTTTAATGCACGCCTGAACACTATTTCAAACACACCTTAACACGCCTCAATCACAATCACCTGCCTCTGCCTGCGCCAAGTGTTGGTACAATAGTTGATAATAATAATAATAATAATAATAATAATAATAATAATAATAATAATAATTATTATTATTATAATTTAATTATTATTTTAAGTCTAAAATCAAATTATGTTCAGTGCAATATTAATATAGAATATAAATGGTAGACGAAAAGAAAAGGAAAAGTTAATAAAAAGAAATTGCTTTAAATAATAAAAACTGTCAAGGATACGCTGTGCTCATTAAGAGGTATGGTGCAAACAAGGCCATGGCTATACTGTACAACCTGTGATACAACTGTGTGGCACTGAACAGAGGAAGAATAATGGACAACCCTGGAAGGCAGATATTTAGAATTATGGAGCAATCAGTGTGTGTGTGTGTGTGTGTGTGTGTGTGTGTGTGTGTGTGTGATAAACATCCATCCTCCCAACAAAAACTTGCTTTTTATTACTGCACTTTGCATCAAAATGCTGTTGTTTGTAATATGTCATTTTGATCAATTTCAGACGAAAATTTTATCATTAATAAATAAGTTTTTTTTATCAATAAAACTTTAAACTGTTTTATCTGTAACAACATTTTGTAAAACTGAAAAAAGTACACAAGAAATTAAACAGAGAATGTCAAATATGCATGCCCCAGTTCAACATAACTTGTCACACAGCTAAGAAAAATGCAAATCATTACTGTAACAGTTTTTATCCAGTATATTATACACAGAAGCACCAAATCAATCATTTAGTCCTCTTAAATAGTCTAACCTAATATTGTCCAACTGCCCAGTTGATTGACCAGTGGCAGTCCCTCCTTGTTGCTGATACTCCATGCTGTGGTGGTGACTATCAAGACGGATGCAAAGATAACCCCCATCTGAAAGATACAAGACACAATCACAGTACAGTCTCTTTGTGGTGCTTTAATTGATACACCATCATCTCTTATGAACAACTGCTGTGACTAATTTACATGCACTGAGCAAAAAAGCTCACATTTTCCAATATAATTATAACAGATTCTTTCAGTTTTTCAGATTATTTCACATACCAGTGACAATGTTTTTTTTACTAATGAAATAAAGTTGATAATGAATATTTAGGGATTTTTGATTCTTATCATCCATTAGATGCAAGTTTCTGGTAATCTAAAAACTGAAACATACTACAATTGTTAAAACACTGTACAAATAATACATTTAAATTCTTCACTTTTCACACCTGAATGTAAGGTAGGATCCCTAAATTTATATACTTTTCATGGCCAGTAATTCCCATCCCTGATGATTTCAAGCTGAGAAATAAAATCATGTGTCAATTTTTTAAAATCAAAAACAGTGCATATTCTACACAATCATATCCTATTTTCATAACTGCTTCTCACTTTTCTAATGCATTACTTTCGTGTTTAAAACATAACTGACAATATATATAGGTATTTTGTGTATTGTAACGTTGATAATCCTACATAATATCATTAAGTATAATTTCTTTATGTATTTTTTTCATTGGAATTCTTCAAGTTCAAGTCTTATAATCTTACTTTTATAGAAAAATATTCAGAACTAATTATTCTTAATTTCTTCATCTACACTGTTACATAACAGACAGAAATAAAGTGAAAAATATTTCTACACATCAGAAAACCACTTACCCCCATAGACACATAACAGCACACACCAAGGCCAAAACACCTGCTAAAGTGCTGTGAAATAAAGAAAAACTTTCATTAACAATTCATAACATAAAACAATTTAGTTTTTTTTTTTTTTGAGTTATCACATTTTTAGAATTATTTTGGATAGCATCATTGTTTGCTTTAAATTATGGCATATAATGACTGAAAGTTTTATTTCTGGCATGCAGTCTAATTTTGCTAATGGGCGAATTGCAAAGACTATCTTCTTTCTAACATTTATGGATATCAAATAAAATCTCATGCACAGTCTAATAGTCATTCAATAACCATTTGTAAAATCCACCTTCCAATCACCAAATTAATATTATATGGCTACCAAACATACTATAAGATCTGGGCCACATAATAATTATTTTACACTTACACTAGAGAGTAGTTAGCACCCCTGCCTACCACAGGCATCATTGGAAATATAGCCACTAAAATGCATGATATACTCCAGGCTAATACAGTCTTCTGGAAAATAGACACAAGATACAATAAAACAGTCATACAGATGATAATGACTGATAAACATCATTAAGTATAGAAATCAATCTACAGAAGGAACTGCCTAACTGCTAGAGTGAGAGCAATAATTTTTTTCAGGACTAACAAGGTGCACGTTGAATTTTAAATCGCAAATCTGATGCTAATTTACAAGACAAGTGTTACAGAATTTAAGTTACTGTTTTGAGCTCAGATTCATAATTTGTGTCATTTTTCATTCTCATAGTCCAGGGTAACCATAATGAAATTTATTGTTTCAACACGAAGATTAAAAACTCATCAAACAAATATTCAAAATGATTTCCTTGGCCATAAATCTTTGCTATTGTAAGGAAGTCAAAATTAATACATCAAGTTTACTAGACAACTGCCAAGATATATTATAGAATTCACTCCATCTTACTCTGTGTGCTTTGGAAGTAGAAGAAACCCATGGCCACACGGCCATTGATATAAACCCTACTGACAGCAACTCACGGCGAAAGAAACCCATTACCTGAGGAAAAATAAAAATCAACACTTAACCCAGCAATAAATTCTCATGGAATGGAAGTAACACAACTTCTTTATTTTTTTCAACATGTAGAAAAATGTAAATTAAAATTGCCATAATTGTATACTTCTGCATACAGCATTATAACCACAATAGTAATAATATAAGAAAGCTGTTACAGTAGTTAAAAGCAATTGAGAAATTTACTATCCTAGACTGGAACATGAATCATGTTTTTCAATATAAAGGGAATGTGTATTTAAATATCAATTTCAAAAGAAAATAAGGCATTATTAACTGTATATTCACCTTAATTTAAACACTTACAATAATCTCTAGTCCGCCACCTCCTATACCCAGAATAAGCAGCACTGTTAAAACATTGTTTTTAATCCCATTCTTCCAAGCATCTTCCAATATTGTATTCCTGTAGTAGAAATGTTTTAAACTAGTGAAATAATAGTTGTGTCTCACCTAACGCTATAATAATCATGATAATTTATAATGAAATATTACTAAAATTAGAAGATATATCCTCTTTTCAAAACTATACGTCCTGATAAATCTAAAGCTGCATTAACATATTTTGTTAATTATGTTTTAGTGGAGGTAAACATAGTAATTGCAGAACAATAAAAAACGAAAAATAAATCAAATTATTGAAATAATTCAACTGGATCTTAGAGTAAAACAATGTACAATATTCTACTATATAAAACCCACTAAGAACCTACATGAACTTTTCAATGGCTTATTAATGTGCCCGTATTTCTATTAAAACAGTTTGTGCTGACGTTCTAAAGGTCCGCCACAAAATTAACATGATTGTATAATACTTCCAGACCAATATTTGGCTTAATGACACTGGATACCCCAGTGAGCCAAATAAAAAAGGTTTTGTTTAACAGTAACATTGGTATTGATGAAGGTGTCAGAAAAGTTTGTTCAAACTATTTTGGTGTCCTTTTAAGGTTTCTAGTGACTGTCAGCTGAGTACCTTCTTATGACTTCCCACCACAATATAACAGGCAGCAGACAATACACATAGTGGCTGAATGGCAGACTCTGAACTGAAATACAAGTAGCATAAAAAGATCATTATAAATTATGAGTGTTTTATATGATTTCTGCTCAACAGACATCATCAAATGGTTATGCAGTGGTTGCATCACACAGGTGGCAGTGAAGTGTAGCTGTGTGCATGATCCTGAAGTACATGACTGTACCATCAAAATGTTTTATGTGG